CGAAATCTGTGCATGAAACAGCTTGAAATTGTACAGAACTGTGTTTTTGTCAGACATTTTGATGTCAAGGATCCTCAAATATTGCAAACAACCCTCTTTCTCAAATATAAAGGTGTACATTTTAATGTAGACCCATGCAGATCATTTAAACTATGAGGAAAAAAACTGTAAGCATGCTATTATAGCACATACAACATGTTTAAAAAGTCTTCATGCTAATTTTTAAGATTAAAAATGTATCACTTAATAAATGTTGTTAGGGTTTCTGCAAGTTTATCAACTTTATTAAGAACAATTAAAAGAAAATTTCATGTCTAAGGGAAATGCAATGAGTGTATTAGCAGGACACTAAAAGTTAAAAAATACAACTCCCAACTGATTTCCATTCATTTTAATTAATTTTACAAAAAAATTGCTAAACTATAACATGGAAATAACTTATACTGCACCTTCTGATCACACTGAACAAAATGTTCTTCCTTTAGTATTTTTGTCTTGTTTCTCAGGACAAATGTAAACAAAAACAAAAAAAATCTTAAATCAAGATTCAAAAAGGACATGATGCAAAGTCTTATTTTCTGAGAAATTTATCAAAATGAAGTGAATTTTAAAAATATGTATATCTACCAATGGGCTCAGAAAAATCTACTTTGATTCATAGCGAAACAAGCTTTTTTTGTTTTAAGCATTAACACTTAATTTTCTTCAGTTTCTGAAAATACATTTCTTGATTTAAAGTCCGCATGAAATCAAAATTGACTTTATTTACTTTACTAGTGCACATTGCTAGTCTTGATGTAAACAATTAATCCGTGCAAGTTAATCCGCTGAAAAAAATTGTCAGGTCTTAAAAAGTATTAATTTGCCCTTCCACAGACCTTTATTTTTATTTTATAAATTTCTGCACAAAACTATACTGTATGTATATTATATTATTATATTATAGCACTTGTATATCATTGCTCTTTTGTTGATTTTGATTGCTTCCATTGTCCTCATTTGTAAGTCGCTTTGGATTGTAAATCGCTTAGTAATTTAGCGTCTGCTAAATGACAATGTAATGTATATTTCAAATTTTTTAAATTTTTTTATCTCATTTCATCTCATCCTGAACCCCAGTTTGAAAAACCCTGTCCTAATAGAAATGCAATTGGTTTCATTACTCACCATGACTAAAGCAATACACCCCAAGAAGCCAGCGTGAAGCGGAGTGCCTAAAACCCCCTTAGCTGTTATAAATTCACTGTAAACCACGGCTTCACGGGGCTTATTGCTTTTATAAAACGGTTATACCATATACGTAGTAAGGTTTCACAAAATAAAACCGAGCAAATAAAGTGTAGTGATATTAATAAAAACAGTATGCTTCCGCCAAACAATGTAGTTCCTCAGAATCAGTTGTGGTTGTAACAAAGTGGTTGCCGAGCAACAGACAAACGTAAACAAAGGTGTATGTTTGTAGAGTAATTTACAACAGCTTCGAACGCAGCTCAACCAATCAGAATCAAGGACCGGAACTCTCCGTTTTATAATAGAGCTGTTGGACCTGATGGTGGAAAGTGTGTTTTGATGTTCATCTCTCTCTCTGTAGAGTGAAGACAAGCTGAAGCCGGTGAAGGTCGTCCCAGGACATCTACAGTGTTTGGAGCATGCAGTGAAAAAGAGTTATTTCCCTCGAGAACACATCACTGTGCTGAACGCTTTCATGGCCAGGTAACCCAACAAACAGAAGTGTTTACCTTTATGAACGTTTTTTGTTATTAACAGCATGTGATGTGTTTGATTATTTTATATACAGGCCGAATAAGTCGCTGGAGCCATGCAGCAGTGCTCGAGATCGCTTGCAATCCACCCTGCAGAAACTCAAACCTGAGAGCTGAACAATTCTGAAACACACGTGTGCTTAAAAGACTTGCATCTGATTTTTAATATTAAACAGTCATAACAGGTCTTGAAACCTCACCTGATTTCCTGCCTAGTTTATCTTCCATCTAAGCCAACATTCAGATTTATAAAAACAATCTTTAACATGGAAAAGTGCTTAGCGCCGGGGCATATCATCTATTTCAGAATTGAGGGGGACAGAAAGTTAAAGTGTAATATTGGTTTATTCGAATGATAATATATATGATAATGATATATAATATATATCAGAATATAGTTACTTTTGCTATGAATAAAGTTCCCATGACATCAAAATTTTTGATACCACTGAAATTTCATAAAGCTTATCACC